TCTTCTAGAGGTTCATTGTGAATATTGTATAAAAGAGATTCAACTTCAGTTGTTTTGATAATGAGAAAAGGATTTTGTGAATTTTAAGGGTTTTGTTGATAAAGAAAATTATTATAGATAATATTTAGCTTATTTTTGAATAGAAAGTTGTTGTGTAAGTGTAGAGAACTCAGAGTATTTCAATTGAGTTAAATATTGATAAAGATTTGATATAATTCTATATTCATTTTTGATTACTAAAGTCATCAATCACACTGCTAATGCTTTTGCTTTCACTCTAGGTTAATTATACTTTAGGGTTTGATTAAATATAAGGTAATCTAGAAAGAATATTAGCATTTTGATGTATTTTACCTTTATGATAGCGAATATTATAAGGAAATTCTATGATTTGTATAATCTATCTTATAAATTTTTGTGGTGAGTCAAGTTTGTTAAATAACCATTGCAAAACAGTATGATCAGTAATTAGGTTAAAAGATTGATGCAAAAGATAAGTTCTAAAATATTCTATAGCCTAAATAGTAGCGAAACATTCAAGTTTAGTAAACACATAGTTTCTTTCATCATTATTAAAGTTCTAAATGGTTCAGTTCAGTCAAGATTAAATGCCAATCTGTATTTGAACTGAAAATTTCAGTTTAGTTCAGTTCAGATTATTAATCTTAAAAATGCCAATCTGAATCTGAATCAAACTGCAGACTGGTAAAAATCTGAACTAAAACAGAATTTTCAGATTAATCTAAAATAAAGATGACACTGCAACTGGTTGCAACCGGTGACAAATAAGCATCACAGAGTTGCAATTAGTTGTAATATTAATAAAAATTGAGTTGCAACTAGTTGCAACCGGTGACAAATAAGCATCACATGGTTGCAACTAGTTGCAACGCCATCTTTAATCTAAAATTACAATTCAATTATATAAGGAATCTGCAATTTATATGCAAAACTCTAGAAGAATCGCAAAAAATTGCGAATTTCTTTTAGAGATTCGCAAAAATTTGCGAAATTCGATGAGTAATTGCAAAATTTTGTGATTCTCTAAGATATTGCATTTTTTTGCGAAATTCAAAGAGAAATCACAATTTTTTGTGATTCTTCAAGAATTTCGCGATATTTTTTGCGAAATATTAAGAGAAATCGCAAAATTGCGATTCTCTAAGAGTTTTAAAATTTTTTTGCAAAATTCAAAGAGAAATCGCAATTTTTTTGCGAATCTCTAAGAGTTTCACGATATTTTGCAAAATTCTAAGAGAAATCGCAAAAAAATTGTGATTCTCCAAGGTTTTCCATATAATTGAACTGAACTTTCAGGTTAATCTGAAATTATCAATTCAGTTCAGATTTTTTTCAGTTCAAATTAGAATTATAATTTAAAAAAAATCTGAACTGAACTGAAAATTTTCAGATCAATTTTTATACAATCTGAAACTGATCTGAACTGAACTGATCTGAAAAATCTTCAAATTAATCTGAACCGTTTAGAGCTTTAATCATTATTAAGAGTTTAACTAGCATATGGGAGTGTTTCTAGGAAAATCAGGTTCTGAGAAATTTTTGACTAAAATAAAGAGCTTAATACATTTTAATCTAATAACATCAAAAACTAAAATGCAATAAAAATCTCAATTTTGCTAAAAAATTTCCGGAACCTGATTTTCCTAGCAATCAACTCATATGTGACTACATATTCTTTTTGTTGATCATTTAGCTTAGTTAGAACAACACCTAAATCCATATATGATCCATCAGTAAATAACAGAAACTTCTTAGAGAAGTTAAGGTAGATAAAAATAGGAGCTGCAATAAGACACTTTTTTAAATATTCAAATGCTTGCTGTTGGATTTCAGTCTATTAATATAGTATTTCCTTTTTGAACAGAAGATGTAAAAGTGCAGCAATAGTTGAAAAGTTTTGAATAAATTAACGATAGTATAAAGCGAGTTCTAAGAATTCACGTAATTCAGTTATATTAAAGGTACTAGAAAATCCCTAATCTTTTTAATTTTTGAGGGATCTGGAGCAATTTCTTGTTCATTCATGATATGTCTCAGAAAAGTGAATTTGAGCTTTCCAAACTCATATTTATCTTGTCCTAATTTTAACCTAGCTTTTCTCAATTATTGAAAGATGTTTTTCAGGTGGATAAGATGTTCTTCGAAGGTTGTTGAAAAAATAATTATATCGTCTAAATAAATAGCTACATATTTTCTAATTTCTTCTCTAAAAACTTTATTCATAAGCCTTTGAAATGTTGCTGACGTATTAGTTAAGCTAATAGGTATTATGGTAAATTCGTAAAGTCTGTGACTGGTAATAAATGTAGTCTTTTGTTAATCCTCAGGTGTTATGGTAACTTGTTAGTATCCACTAGCTAAATCAAGTATTGTAAAGAATCTAGCTTTATTAAACATATCCAGAAGTTCATCAATACGTAAGAGAGGATAACAATCTCATCAAGTTATACTGTTAAACTTCTGATAGTCAACACAGAATTTTAACTTGCTATTTTTCTTTTTTATTAAAACTATAGGAGAAACCCAAGGGCTTTCTGATGGCTGGATTAGCTTGTTCTTTAACATCTTATTGATTTCTTTCTTAATAAAATCTTGTTCAAGAGAAGCAACTTGATATGCTCTCTGATGTATTAGCATATCTATTTCTAAAGGTATATGATGTGTTTCAATGGTATATCCTAGTTGAGACAAATAATCAGCAAATAAATCATCATTTTGTTGGAGAAAAACGGTTAACTGTTGTTGTTGTTTTCCTTCTAAGGATGTAGTTGCTTTAGGAATCTTTAGTTTCTTCTCAGAAATATTTGAGAGCAATTTAAGTGTTTTTATTCCTTTTGACATAGTTTACAAGTATCTGTCAGCTTGTCAAGTCGATTATAATACCAATATCAATTTCCTAGTCCTTGCCAATGATATTTCCATTTTTCATTAGTAGGGGGTTGAACATTAAACTTTTGCTTTAGATTTTCATAATATTATGGAGAATATCATTATCTTTATATTAGAATTTGGTCTAGTTTTGCTTTAGCAAGTATTAGTTGATTGATGTTGTTTCCTAAAACTGCGTAATATTATTATGAGATCAAGATTTCTTCTTTATATTCTTTATTCGCAAGATTTACTATAAGTGTTGGTTATTGAAATTGATCAAATACAGGTTTTTCCCAACAAGTTATTGAAACTTGATATACAGTTCCATTTCATTTAAAAATAAAAACACCCTTATTCCAATATAACTGTGCTTGATATTTAGTAAGCTAATCGTTACCAGTCACTATATAATAATCATTTGATTCAGTAATATCAACATTTATTAGGATTTTAACATCATCAATTTGAACTGGTATATTTTAAACTTATCCTAATGGTTGAGAATATCCGCCTTGAATATTTTTTATTATAATTTGAGAAGAACCTTCTATTTTTCATTCCAATTGTTGTAAAAATGATTTGGATATTACACTTCCTGCTGATTTTGAATCTAAAATTAAATATATTAGTTTTCCATCTATATGAAATACTATATATAGCTTCAATTGCTTTAGAGGATTTTGATTTCCTCTAGTGTACTCACTCTCAGGAAATACTATTAACAGTTTAAATAAGGATGTGGTGAATAACTAGAAGTAGAGGTCATATATGTAGGTTAAGGTAATAAAGTACTTATTGGTAGAATATATACAGTTTGATTACCTAGCATCATTGAATTATGATATGATAGTGCAGCACATTGGTCTCCATTTGTCTTAAATCTATTTTTAGTTGGATACAAATTTTCCCAATGTCTGTATTGTCTGTAATGTAAACAGGAAGTTTTTGATTAAGTAATGCAATTTTGTATAAAATATCCAAATTGTTTACAGTTATAACATTTATTATTACTATTCTGATTATTTTCTGTACTTGACAATCTTTAGAAAGATGTCCAGCTTTCCCACAATTAAACAGTTTCATCCACTATTTTCTGAAGTATTATTGTTGGATTAATTTCTCTAATTGTTATTTATTTGGTCATTAGTTAATTTAGGAGCCACAGTAGTATTAGATAACAAGTGCTTGAATTCCTTAATTAGCTTCTTATTATTCTCGTCAATAAGTTGTTACATATTGGCAGGTTATTCTTCTTCCTTAGGTCCTTCACTTTGGTTCAAGTAGGCTTTGCTTAAGAAATATCCTGATAAAGTAGTATTGTGAGAGAGTACTGCTTCAACTGAGTGAGCTCTATCGATTGCTTTCTCTAAATCATATGGAGTAGCAGCAGCAAGAGCAGTATGAAATTCAGGTCGTAAGCCTTGAAAAAATTGTTCAATTTTTTTATTTTCTGAGGTATTGTATTTTAGATCTAACTTAGATATAAAGATTCTACGTCTGCAGCATATTCTTCTACAGATTGTTCAGGTCTTTATTTACATCGTCAAAGTGCAAATCGCTATTGCATCTGTCTATGAGTAGTGTAGTAATGTTTAAGAAAGTGATAGACAAAGGATTGATATTTGTGTTATAAATCACTATCATTATCCCAATAATGCAAATACTTTTCAAATTTTGTTTATTAAACCAAGTGAGAGCCAATCCTTTCATAAAGGATGATACCAAAATCAAACTTTTTTATCCAAAATGCTATTAGCTTCGCAAGCATGATTATATTATTCTAACCAGTCACTAGGATCTTGATTGTCTCCTTTAAATATAATAAGGTTCACAAATCTAGCTTCTCTTAATCCTGAGAATTCTATTAATTGTAAGATGCTCTGTAATCCTTTTAGTATTTAAAAGAGTTAAGGTTCATCTGGTAATTCAGCATCATTAATAGTTTTAATCATTAGATCAGCTTCATCTCCACTTTTGAAAAGATCATTACTAGAATTTGAATTAGATGAAAGGGAGCTATCATAGTGAGAAGGTCAGCGTGATTATCTATAGTAACTTTCCTTGTGACTCTTTCTATAATTAGTTTCTATTTAGGTGGTGTTATCTATTTATTTATTTTTACTTTTTCCACTAGGAGATTTAACATCATAATTATCCTTATTTTCAGAGTCAGACATAGTGTACAGCCGTTTAAATCGCTTAGCAATTGCTGATTAAAGGAGTTAGTAAAGGCAATGATTAGTTTACTTTGTAATACTGGTATGGTCATCTACTTTTAGAACTAGTGCTCTAATTTTCTAGTCTTACGCTACTAAATTTATAACTACTTTCAAGTCTTGCACTGCTAGTATTACCTAAGCGAGAAAGACTACTATTCTTAAGGTTAGCTTTATATCCAGAATCTGAGTCAAGATTAGTAAGATCTAAAGTATTCTTGAAGTTTTGAGAACCCTTTCTTTCCTTTTCAGCAAAAGGTTGCTTAGAAATACTTGATTGAGTAGTAGTGATAGTTCTTGGGTTTGTCATTTTTACAGTCTGTTGATAATGATTTTTCTTTAAGTCTTCAATACAAGATCCAATAGATTGATCTAATGTAGTAGGGGGTAGTCGATTATAATTCAAAGAACACAAAGCTTGCTGAAAATACACTTGTTGAAGATTAATAGTTGACGCAGCAATAGCTTATTCGAATGCAGTTACACTTTTATCTGTATATTCTTGTATTTTAAGATTGTCAACAGCCCAGTTGAAGAAGGTTTGAAAGGCCTCCGAAAGTTCAGTAAGATCAGTGTTAAAATTACAAGTGAGACAAGAAGAATCGTCAGTGAGTGGTTTAGCTATTCTGATATTGCGATTGATTTTAATATACAGCTGGTAATAAATTTTCTAGTATTTTAGAAGATTATCAAATGTATAAAATATATTCATAAGAGTACAATAACAGCTATTTAAATTTTTCTAATGATACGTAAATAGGAGAAGAAGGTCCTGTCATTATCACCAAATATTAACGTGCAAACTTTTCAGGTTGCAATTGTTAGACACAGTGTTAGAGGTTGACTCTTTATAGTTTATGTATAAGGCTAACTAGTTTTATGCTAACTAGTTTTATGCTAAGTTTGAGTTATTTACTATTAGTTTATCAGGTTAAGTCAAAGTTATTAGATATAAATAACTTTAAACACAAGTTAAGAGTTATTATAGTAATTTGCAGAAAGTTTTATATAAGAAATAAGAAATACTTTATTAAAATAGAAGGGATTAATCATATAAGAAAAGAATAAGAAATAAATAAAAAACAGAAGTATACGAAGAGAAAAGTAGTATTACATTATCTTTTACAAAAGGAAGTTTCTATACAGCCATCAGTCTATCTTTTCTAGCTTACAAAAGAGCTTATATTTATATCTATTTTACTACATATATTGACATATCTAATATATTAACTATGTTAACTATATCTACTATATTAATAATATTAAATATATCTAATATTATGATTTTAATATAATTTCGTCTAAGTTTCAACTGTTATTAAAGAGTTTTATCTATTATCTCTAGCTAGTACCATATAAAAAGATTCTCGTAAAATTACCTGAAGAGCTAATTATATGATGGTAGCCTAATTCAGAAAAAATGTTGAACTTGAAATTGTTTTTCTTGAGACCGGTAGACCTAATTCCAGTTAAGATAAGCGGGTTTATAATTATAAAAAATTAATACATTTTTTCAAGGATTCTATCAATACTACGAGAAATATAAAAAACCTTAAAAAGATATTTAATTAATCATCAAATAGGCAGAATTTGATCATATTTACTATTAATATCGCAGATACAAATAAATTACTTTTATTTTTATATATTATAAATTATTTATATTCTACTCTATCTACTTCTAGGTAATGTTATAAAACTTTATGTTATATAGAAAGAATCAGGTATTTATAAGTACTGTTTAATAGAGAAAGTGATAATTTTATTGCATATAACTTCTTCAAGTGCTGTATATCTATTTATACATGCATTGATGATTCTGAGAATGGCTATCGCATGTACAATTTACAAAATATTATATAGTTTTAACTTTAGGGATAGTGAACATAATTCTAGTAAAATAGTAGTAACAGTTTCAATCCCAAAAAATTCATAGAATAGAAATTTCATATATGTAATTTTTATTAAGTTATATTATTAATAAAGTAAGTGCAGTATATAATAAAATTTTTTCTTGGCAAAAACTTTCTGATTTCGATTCAAGAAGTGAAATTATGTGAATTTTTTATTTTGAATATTAATATACTAATATTATATTACGCAAGCATATAATCTAAAATAGATGATCTTAGTAAAACTGATTCATTGAAACAATATATTAGCGAACTTAAGGTTAAGAATAATAAAATTAGGGCTGAGAATGATGAGTTTAAGACCAGAATTGCAAAATTGGAAGATAAGCAAACACAGAATGAATTAATAAAAAATTTGCTATTTGGATTTTATAGGGATCAGAACTGTTAAAATTTTTTGATGACCATTGATTACGTAATTAGAGTCTAACCAATCCCTTACCAGATATGATGCAATTAATAATATTAGTATGTAAATTTATCTTCTCTTGATCTATTAATCTGTGAGAGACAACTTATTTTAATAATATATCCAGATAGCCTAATCCTGATAGAATATTTTTTTTTAAATAAATATGAGAAAAATTTGTACATAAACTTTTTTTGCGCAAAATTATACCTAATAAAATATTCTATTCTAATTATAAATATATTATCAATAGACTTTCTAAAAGTTTTATCAAGAGAGCTTACCAGAAACTCTTATATCATTCTAAAGATTCTGTTTTATTAGAATCTATTTCTGAGAAGTCTGAATGAATTAAATCATATTTGAGACAAATATTAGAGATTTATGAAAATTCGTTAAATAGAAAATGCAAAATTATGACAAAAAAAAAAATATTGCATTCTTAAAGCTAATCAGAATGTAATGTATTCTCAGTAATATTGGCTATATATATTGCAGATATTAAACCTAAACTAATAATACTACTTGATCAGAGATGCTAAAGCATGATCATGAGAAAGAGAATAATCACTAGTTATAAATGAGCTTAAAGTATTGACCTAATACTTACTCAATTATAGAGGGTGGATAAAAGTTTCCGGACACTTTTATAAATGCGATTTAAAAAATTTTTGTCATATAATTGTGATACCATACTGCGGTCATATGACCGTCAATTGTTTATTTATATAATCAAAATAAAAAAATTCGTGTTGTTTTGTTATTTTAATTTATATCACTTAATCTCTACCAAATCGAAAATAATAGGACAAAATAAAGAATTAACCAAAGAACAATGCGGAGCTATATTTTACTGCCACCAATATGGTGACAGTTACCAGACTATTGCAAAGATCGTTAACTGCAGAAAATTAACTATTTGTAATACATTAAAAAAAGCTAAAACTACAGGAACAACTGAATCAATACCTCGCTTTGAACGACCATTCTTGATTACAATTCTTCAACGTAATCGCCTCAAACAAATTATTATAAATGATAAAACTAAAAATCATCGTCTTTGTACTGCTAGAGTACAGCAACTTTAGAAAAAAAAGTCTGGGCAAGATGTTTCAACCAAGACTATTAGATGAGTTCTCCATTCAACTGGATTAAGAAATTGTATTGTACGAAGAAAACCTTTAATTTTATCAGCGAACATAGAGGCACGTCTCGCATGATATTTAGAGCACCAAAGTTAAATAAAAGAGGATTAGTCAAAGGTCATGTGAAGTGATGAATCGACCTTCTCTCAATTTCAACAAAGTCACAATAGCAGAGTGTGGCGAGAACCAGCAGATGAATGGGCTTTATCCTGTATATCAGCCACAGTAAAATATAGCCCAAGCCGTATGTATTGGGGCTATTTTTTTCGAAAGGGAAAAGGGCCAATTGTTGCATTATCTGGAATAGCAAATAGTGAATCACATATCACCATTCTTTGTAAATATGTAATGCCAGCTATGAAACGAATATTTCCCAATAATGATAGCTAGTTCCAAGAAGATAATGCCTGTCCGCATAAATCAAAAGTTGCAATGAATTTTTAGACAGAAAATGGTTTTCTTACATTAACTTGGCCAGCCCAAACTCCTGACCTTAACCCAATTGAAAATTTATGGCTGAGATTAAAAAAAACATTTGTGCATATAAAAAACCACCATCAAATCTTGCTGATCTCGACCGATATGTTAAAAAGGCATGGTGAGAAATTCCAATGCATATTATTAAAATTTTAGTTGATAGCATGTCACAGCGGATTCAGGCTATGATTACAACAAAGGGAGGCTAAACTAAGTATTAAAAGCTTAATATGAATTGTATGCCTTAACCAGCTCTAAATAAAATAATATTAGAATTTTTACTATTAATGCTAAAGAATTATAAGTTTTATATTTGGTGAAAAAGTGTTCAGAAACTTTTGTCCACCTCTGTATAATAGACGAACTTTTAAAAAATTTATGCTAAAGATAGAAAAGAAATATAAAGAATAGGTTATTGCAAATAAAAATTTATAATGTAAAATTGAGGAACTGAAGATGCAAGTGTAAAAGGCAGAAAAGAAACTGACATTTATAAAATCTGATTTTATTCATTAGTTAGAACATTTTTTTCTTTGCGTTTTTGCCTTACTTTTATTTTCTTCTACAGGTTTAGTAGAGTATCAAAACTTAAGCAAATTGCAAGGGAGATCATCTTTCAACTTAGTGAGATTAAATACAATAAACTCACCTTTTTAAAGATAATTATTAATAACTATAGATGCATTTTTTATATCATTAGTATAGCGTCTAATGATTTTGAAAATATCTTCATGTAAGTTACTAGAGTAAAAAATTACTAAATGAGTGGAATTTTCACATATGAATATATTAATTTTATAATATTTATATGCTACATATATGCATGAAATATTTTGATGTTACCCATTCCCAAAAAATTGGCTGATTTTATTTGTATATATTTTGGGATTAGGTATATATCTTCAAAAATAATTACTGTATTTCGTTCTGGTGAAAATGCTTAACACTAGGAATTTTTTCTAATAATATATAGCTAAATCATATATTTTCATAGTAAAACACTTTTGGATCTTTTGAAATTATGCCATACATATATTTTACAAATGCCCACTTCAGCCTATTAGGATGGTAATCACAAACTATCAAATCATCACATACAATATATCTAGACCTACCTTTCTTATTTTTATATATACATTTAGCTTTATTACCAAAAAAGATTTACCAAAATATTAGTCTTACTTAATCTACTCTTCTGGTAACTAGTATTGATAAAGGACATGATGGACTTGTAAGGTAAAATTGAATTCAGGATGATTTATACTTTGTGATCTTATCTATATATATAAGGTAAAGTTTCATAGAAGGTAGTTCTGTCTTTTGGTTTTTCTCTATATTAGATCAGGAATCTATAACTCTGATTTCT